GCTGCTCAGCTTATTTGTTCTAAACTGATCAGTTCAATACATTTCACGTCCGCGCTAATAAAATAACGAAGTTCAAGAAGCAATTTTTAGAAAATTTCAAGCCATGTTACAAAAATTACTTAAAAAATTTGACAAAACTTATTTGATATGAAAAATGATTATTTGTGGGCCTGCGCAAACCAATGGATGGCTACACATAAAATTTTTAACCCACTTCAAAAAAGGAGGAGGTTCTCAATTTGTCTGTATGTTTTTTTTATGTATGTTACGCGATAACTCCGGTATTTGTGAACCGATTTTCATGATTCTTTTTTTTGTTGGAAAGAGGGTACCTCCATAGTGTTCCCATTTAATTTTGAAGAAAATCATCCACCTCTAAGGGTGGCTGTTCACGCATGAAGATTCATTTTTATAAATAGCGCCTATATTTTAGTATAACGATCAATTATTTTAATGGTTGATTTTGCTATTCTTTAATTCAAGGCGTTTTCTCTCTCAATACGCTTTGGGTAGTGAGAACCGATTTTTATCATCTTCTGTGTCAAGTCCCGTATAGTGGCGAACTAGGGGATGAATCCGGGTTTGCGCACTTTCCGGTAACCGATTTCAATAAAACTTGGTAATTATATGTAATTCCACGTACTTTTGAGGTCGGTTTTTTTAGTACTCTGTACTGAGATTATTCAATGAATATGAGAAGATAGAAGTCAGAGAGTCATTTCGTAGCAGAAGAGCTCCTTGTGAAAGAGTTCGTCCATGGTAGTACTGCCACCTTACCTATTTCTGTCGCCAAGCATAATATCAGCATTATTGTGTTCCGGTTTTGAAGGGTAAGGGTGCTGGTGAAATTACAGGCACATGGGACTTGTTAACTTATGTCTCAGAGTGACGGGCGCAGTGGCAGTGCCCCTCAGATCTGTGCGATTTATAGTTCTGAATGGCTCTGCAACTTGGCGCACGACTTGTTGGTCCCGTTACTAGATATTAATTTAAAAAAAAGGGAAATGCGCCGCGATGCTCCGAAGTCGGTCTCAACAGCCCTTACTTTTTATTATTTTCAAATTTCTCAAAAAGTTACATTTTAAACTTCGTTACTTTATAACTAAGAGGGCGATGCGGTTTACCGATTACATTCAGGAAAAATTGTTTTTTGTCTGACTAGACAATTATGCTTATTAGACCTTAACAAATGGCATCGATTTGTTAAAAGGAAACTGCTTTAATAAATTTTCCAGCTCACACGCCATTAGGTGGTGGGAAAAGGAGAAAATTATGAAAACTTCACGGGAGAGAAAAAGATGAGAAATGCACTCGACTTCCCGTAACGAGATACATTTATCTCAGATTTTGTGGCTTCAAGTTTGCGATGAACAAATTATTTCTAATTAGCTTGCAAAATTCTGAATTAGTTTTCAAGAAAATGTATTTACCTAAAGTTGATTCAAGGTTATTATTACATATTGATTGCATTATGTAACATTAAAATAATATAATGTAGCTATAATAAAGGTTTGGCTACTAATTCAGTTGAACTACATCTTATTTATAAAAAAGTTGAATCTCATTTTTTCAATTTTCATCATAATATTATTAAAAGTAATAATAATAATAATAACTAAGTAATTAAACAGAGCACACTGAGATACAGAAATGAATAAATAAATAAATACACAAACACACACTTACACGTATATAATCTTTTCGCTACTGGGGTGTAGGTAGCATGGTATGTTATTTTTATTTATTATAATTCATTGGATTTTCTTATAATAACCATTGTTCTAGAAGCTTTACCTTAGCATTATTTTATGTAGATTTTAATGTAACGTACAATTCATTGTTAAATGACAAACTTTGTAAATGGCTCAATAAGTTTTTTTTCACAATACCAAGTGACGGGACGAACCGCTAAGAGCTTTAAATAGCAAAGATCTGCGAGGCACTGTATTGTGCCCGTCACCACGACACGTACGTTGACAAGTCCCACGTGCCTGTAACTTCACCAGCACCCTTTCCATTCAAAAATGCTCACATTACTGCTTGGCGGCAGAAATAGGTAAGGTGGCAGTGCACAAATTTTCACAGGAAATACACGTATACAAAAAGAGTATACAGAAGATCACTTCGTAAGACGTTCACGATATAATTAAAACAGGCAAATTTTCTTTTCCTTCATGGTTAGCCTTATGGACGCTAGATCCCGGTTTTAATTCCCAGAAGGACCAATTTGAGAAACAGACTTTTATAAATTAGTTCCGGTCGCGGTGTTTTGGGCAAGGTCCCCAGAGAGAATTTCTTTTCTCTGGTATTCATAATACAAGGAATATGCCTAGTTTCGAGACGAAGTAACTGACATTTTTTTTTTACTTTCTATACATTATTCTACGTACAGCTGATGAAGTTTGCAGGGATGTTGCTAAATATGATTACAAATTGATTTATTTAGTGTGAAACTTTTACATAGCTTCTTTTTGTGAGAGAAAATAAAAAACTTAATTATAATTAATGATGCGCCATGTTAAAAAGTTTCTGGGATGATAAAGAATTTGTATAAGTTTCACAAAGTATAAAATTTATATGCATAAGCTCTTTGCTAAGTAGGTACTTTGTACTGGTATATCATTTTTCTCCCTGAAGTGTTCTGGAAAAGTTAAAGGTGCTCGGCAAAAGAGATACCCTCTCAAAGAAATCGATATGTCTGGCGGAAATTGTCGCTGACATTCAAAGTTTTAAAGAGCTAGTAAAATATTTTAGAAGTGACTATTAACCAGTAATGAAACAGTATTTAACATACTTGATACATACATTATCATTTTAGAGTTATATGTATCATTTTAGAGTTATATATATTAACGCACAGTTAATACAATAGTATATTAACTGAAATTATTTTTTTCATAATCGATGAAAAACGAATTACTCCCTTCCCGATTGGAAATCTTTCAGTTTATTAAAATTCATGTATAGGTTAAAGTTTATTACAGACATCTAAACAATTTCCTACTTGCCAATATATTTAAAAATAAAAAGGAAACAATAATTTCATATTTTCGACTAAGGATTGTTTTGTCCAGAACTAGATGACAAAAATTGTCTCATTTTGAATTAAGTAGATTTCAATTGTTTCTCACAATATTCTAACGACCGTTGTATTGAGGTGTAGAGATTCAAATTTTACGATCAGCAATAGCATAATCTTGAATTTCACATATTTTGAGTTACAACACTTTTGTAATAGCAGTGCGATATGATACTGGCAGAAAACCAGCACTTTTTGACTTTTCACGATCTACAGTATTTATGCTAAGTCAAGACCATTTCAGCACAGTTTTCTCTATAAGTATATGGTTATATACCCTGTAAAGTGATTGTAAATGTTTGCTTCTGCATGTATTTGTGCTGAATAATCGTTTTATCTATAATTATGTGTAGTAACATTAGAGCTCCTTGTTAAAGAGTTTGTCCAGGGAAGTATTGCCTCCTTACCTCTGACACCAAGCAGTAATGGGAGCCTTAGTGTGTTCCGATTTTGAAGGGTAAGAATACTGGTGAAAGTACATGCATGTGGGATTTGTCAACTTTGTCTCAGGCTGACCGGCGCAGTGGCAGTATCCGTCAGATTCTTGCTATCAACGCTCAGAGTGGCACTGCTCAGTAAGCGACACGCCTGCCCGTAACAGTTGTTACGGGCAGGCGTGTCGCTTACTACCAGGCTCACGACTTACTTACTCAGTCACTGGATATCATAAAAAAATGTATTATTTCATAGTTTAAAACATCAGTAATGTGGAACATGAGGCATTTAGCAGTTTTTGTTTCCCTTTAGAGAACTGACTTAAATATATTTACTACAATAATTTTATACACAACAAATTTTTGACAAATAAAGCCAGTCTCCTTGCTGCTCGATCCACGCAATAAAATCAATTCAGTACGGCAAAAATTTTCATTCAACTTGAGATGAGTAGTATCGACTCATAAACAATAAAACTGAAACCAAATAACTTATTAAAAAACTGATTAGAAGGGGTTGTAGATCTCATTTTCCTGATCTCAGATATGTTTATAACTCAATTTTCCTAAAATGTCGATTAAGCTAGGTATATAAATAGGACAGAATTGTATTAATCAAACATAACATAAATGATCGAATTTGCTGTACATTTCAACAGATGGCCCTATTCAAAGCAACGGATTGTAAAATAAGAAACGTCGAACAGAGTCTATTTGGGACGAACCCTCACTCCTGCAATTTCATTTTCCATCTCTGAAAACGTAATACGAGCCGCCAAAAGCGGGCATTTCATTGATGTTGTCAACGTTGGCAACATGTTTGTGTTGCCAACATAATACATGACGTATGAGCTTCCTGTACCAGCTGCACGGATGCCGGTGACATTTGCAGAGTGATTGTCGGGGCCTATTGAAAATGTTAGTGGGGTTTAAATTTTTTGTTGTAACGTCGCTTTTAGTGATATCGGTGCGATGAGAATCTATACAGTAGCAAATTTATGGGTGGACTGTAAGCGTCCGAATTGAAATTAAGTTTTTTACATTACGTAATTTCCACGGTCTAGAAATGGACGTAGTTTGTTCGTGATTTATAGGTCACGTGGGTTTGGGAGTGGCGCGGTGGGTGCGGAGGACAGTGACCGTATATATTTCTAACTTTGTTTCCGTAGTAAGAGGAATGAAAAATAACATAGATAAAAAACACACGTGATGGATCGGGCATCACATATTAAAAACGTTATTTATGACTCTACGATGAAAAACTGGGTACAATCGCGTGAATGGAAGACAGATTATGTCATTTATAGATTAAAGTGTTACTTAGTTGAAATCCACGTCAATAAAAATGGAAGTAAACCCAGTGAAGGTAGAATCGTGCAAAATTGCAACGCTTGTGTTTAATACTTTTTTCATGCATTTAATTTTCCACCCTCCGCAGAAAATTAAGATTCTTCGGCCGAGTGTCGAACAGTCAACAACTCCTAAGGATGCCTAGTGAAGAGGTGAAACCCGTGTCGGGTATATTCTTCGTATTTGTGATTGTAATTGAATTTGTGTTATTCATTTTATGCGGACGGTAGGTCGGAAAATAAACAACACAAAAAAAATTTTAAAAACATACAAACGCAGCTATTTTACACGCCTTGAGGTGATAAAAATTTAACTCTTGTTTTCAAATTACGTATCTAAAAATTCATACATTTTACTTAATATTACGAGTTAACGCCGCGTCCAGAGGAAATGCTTCAAAACGCGCGTCAACGCGGCATACGCGTGTGTGTCCATCTGAACCCAGTAGGGTTCGCGGTGTAGCAAAGTATCTGACATTTGTTTTTGTTAACAGATTATGTCATCATGTACTATGCGCTAGTGTTCATTGTCGTAGAATAGATAAATGTAATTTTACTGCTGCGAAAAAGCTCTAAGGTTACGCCTGTTAAATTTACATTACAGTTAAAAATTGCAGATCTTGCCATTACTCGTGGAACGGCAGTAAATAAACCTATCGTAATAATTTTAACTGAATGTATATTGTTATTTGCAGGCGCGGAACAAACCAGCAGACGGTGGAGGGCACGTCAATCAGAAGAATGCTGCAGGGCAGAAAGCAACTACTGCCGGACAGAAAGGTAAGCTGAAGTAATGATCTTACTGCATAATAGAACCCACGTCTCAGGGGGCACTACGTTCGTGGTCCAATATGAGAGCATTGGCGTAGTGGGAATAGGGGACCGTATTCTCAGTAAAAAAGAAAACTTGTTTCAAAGTCTACAAGTTTTGTTTTGATAATAGAATTTTTCTGGCAACATCAGATACTTAATTCTGTGTAGTCTAGTCAACATCTTGAGAAACTTCTAGTTCCAGAAATTTCAAATAGCGCAAATAAATATACCGTTGTCTTTGTTTATAAAGTATTCAATTTTATTGAAATCAAAAAGCATCAGTTGGTAGTTCATTTACGTGATACAGCCTTTCGCTTGTTCTTTTTATTTAAGAGCTGGAATGGTCTCCCTCCTCATGTATTTCCTTTGCGCTATGACGTGAGGTTCTTCGAAAAGTAAGTCCACAGGTCTCTAGAAGTTAAAAACGAATAATTGCCAGCTCCTCTGAAGTTGCAGATTGCCCTGAGCGACTAAAATCACCTCCCTTTTTTCACTAAGCTGTTGTCTGTAGAATCAGTGCCTATAGTTTCTGTTCATCTTGGTTTTCCCTTGCCTCATTTTCCTTCAATCTTCCCTATTATAATGCTTTTCCTTGCGATTTTCTATTGCCTTTAATATTTTTTTCTCTTCCAGTGATCGAGTATATAACCTGAAATAAAAACGTAATATCATTCAAATTGTTTCAAAACTATTCTGCCACATCATTACGGTGACAACTGCGCTAAAATTGGCCAGCCCGAATTCGAAACAATTGACGGGTGTCGGCAATTGTTTCACTTCAAATCGACCAGTTTAACTTGAGCTTTACTATAATGGACGAAAATTTATAAATTACTTTTTTATATTTCACTACCGATGAAATGTGATTCCGTTTGTTTTGTAATTAGATGTTTTGCTGTTTTTCCCATACCACCGAATGTAACAGCCCTCCATAGTTAGAGATATTATCTTTATTACAATAAATATTTTTATAATATTATTTTTTTGGAAAATACGGAGACGTACTCACTGGCCACTTGTTGACGCTGTACTGTTTCAGCTTTCTAATTTGTGATTTCAGTGCAAACGAGAGTTGATATTTAAAAGTGATATAAGGTCCCTTTGCCTGATGAGTTTCCAGGGATGGAGGGCCCTTATTTCGTCTGTACTTCTGGTTATATACTCGATGCTTCCAGTCAACAACAATGATAACGTATATTTTTTTATCTTCTAATAAGTACAATTAAAAAAAGATTCGTTTCGCTCACACAGACCATGCAATTCATATGTCATAGTTCATCATATGCAAAAACTGTTCTTTTTTTAAGCAATACGAAAGTTTGGAATCGCTTAGCTCATTTACATCATTATTACAGTTCGGGATTTAAATAACGAAGATGAGGGAAAGGTTAACAAACAAATTTAAATTACTTCGGGAAACCAAGGTACTTAATCCGGCACAGGATAGATACGTTATTTTCCTTGGAAATTTATAAAGCGTTGAAAAATTAATACATACAGACACCCATTACCTTGGTTTTAAACAAAAAAACCCTGTGTTTAGATCCTACAATAGATCTAGAATGAATGTGTATACATTTCAATCATTATTGTTTTGCGTGCACTTTCAACAACTAGAATAATCTAACATAAGTATATTTGAATATTAAATCAAAAGATCTTACACTGTCGCTTTTACATGCTGCCATGTACCTTAAACCTATTACACTCTTAGGAACACTAAGATTATAAGCTTAAATGTTTCCTTTTTATAATGTACAGTGTTTTCTATGGGGAATGTCTTAAACATCTCTCAAAATCTATAACTTAGAAGGTCTCCTTGTGATAGAGTTCGTCCAGTGAAGTACTGCCTATCTGTTTTTGTCGCCACACAGTAATGTGAGCATTACCGTGTTTCGGTTTTGAAGGGTACGGTGCTGTGAAATTACAAGTACATGGTACCTGTTAACTTACGTCTCAGGATGAGATCTTTGCGATTCAAAGCTCTTAGCGGCACTGCAACTGTTATGGACAGGTGTGTCGCTTACCACCAGGCGAACGACTTGTTCGTCCCGTCACTTGTTATCGTAAATAATTCTCACATCACATTGAACTCTTTACGATAAGTATTTAAATCCGTCAAGACGCCGAAATATTTATTTAACGTTGTAGCACTGCGTAAGCGGTAGTAGTCCAGTAGGGTGACAGTTCCTTCTCAATCGAGAGGTCGACGGCTTCGAATCCCTGTGGCCGCATGTGCTTATGTGACTTTAATTCCCAATTTTTGAGTGTGATAAGTTAGAAAAGCTTTCAGTCAGGTTTTTGTTCTGGTCATAGCACTGTGACTGCACTGTTGAAGATAACAGATGATATTCGCCTCGCAATGGACAATGGTCTTTTCAATGCTTACACTTCTGGATTTCCGCATTGCTTTCAAATCTGTTGACTTTGACGTATTGCTTGCTTCTCTTCGTTCTCCTTCGGTTATAGCTTGGTTCAACTCCTACCTTAGAGACCGCTTGCAGTGTATTCATGAGGCTTTCTCTGATTGGTGTGACTTAGCTGCGGGAGTACCCCAGGGTGGTCTTCTTTCTCCTCTCCTCTTCTCTGTTTTCATTAACTCTGTCACTTTTGTGCTGTCTTCAAACTTAAGTCTGTGCTGACGATTTGCAGCTCTACTGCAGTTTTAAAGCGTCTAATGTCACTTTTTGTATTTTTTCCTGTACCATAAACTATTACTATAAATAAATAAATAAAAGCTTTCGCAAATGGGGTACATGAAAAGCCTCATCGCAATGGCGTACTATTTACTGCGAAAAAACCGGCGAGTACATTACGCTGATTGGCAAATACTTTCATCACGATGGCAAGCATGTATCCCATTTAGACAACATTTATAAGTTACAAGTTAGTCTAATTAAGACAATTGTATAAAATAAAATAAATAATAAATTTAAAGATAACAACACTGGCCTTTTTAACCACTGTAAGGTGATGTTGGTCTTTGACAAATCAAAAATGTTACTAATATTAGACAAATTCGAAAATATTAGTGTCTTAACAAAAACGAGTAGGCAAAATCGATTACGTACCTTACCTACGTATCAACTTTTTTTTGATGAGGTCGACGATGGAGCATGCACACCTAAATAATGCCTATTCACTCTCGCCTTGAAAAGGCCTAAGTTATAACGTTTAGGGAACAAGTCTGCAGGCAGGGAATTCCACTCAATAGCCGTTCGCCATATAAATTTGGAAGCGTAACGCTTCGTGCGAATCTTTGGAATATCCACAACATAGGGGTGGAACCCAAGCCTACGCCTAGTCTTGGGTTGGGGAAGGCGGAATTAAATTGTGTAATTCCATCGCACTACTTACACTAACTTAAAATAACTGCCACGAAGTACTAACGCGTACGGTATGAACACCGCGGAGTACATATTGCCAGACATTCTAAATAAGATACCTGTGCAGCTCCATGCAGATATGTTAATGAATGTTAGGAAATGCAAACAAGTAATAAAAAAGTATTACTTGGTTATGTAAAATTGTAACAAAAGCGATGCATTCTCACTTCGCATAAACCCTTTAAAGAGTTTTTGAAAGGAGTCTTATTGATAAGTATAGATTAAGTATTTTGTGTATCTTGAATAAATAAATAAAAAAATAAAAAATTCAGCATGGCGGCGCGGGTAGGGACAATAATTCACAGTAATGTATGTCGTCGATACTATAAGATTTTTTGTGGTGGGACGAAGTAGTCGTGTGCCTGGTAATAAGCGACACGGCTGTCGCGTGCCACTCAGAGCACTGACGCTGCGCCCGATACCCTGAGACATAAGTTGACAAGTCACATGTGCTTGTAATTTCACCAGCACACTTACCTTTCGAAACCGGAATGCAGTAATGTAAGCATTACTGCCTGGCGACATAAATAAGTAAGGTGGCATGTCAGTACTTCCCTGGACAAACCCTTTGAAATGTGATTTATATTAGAAGAAGCTAATGGTGAACGAAAACACAGTGAAGCATCTCTCAAAAATCTTGGAGAACGTGATGAAATCTGCACGTCCCGCTGCTGGGTACGGGTCCTCTAAGGATAGGGTTGAGGCCATGTCTACTATGCTGACTTAATGACTGGAGACTTTACAGATTTTCAGTGGCATTACAACGTAAAGGTATAGCTAGATTTAATCAATATTACTTTTGGTAACTAAACTAAAACGTTAACATTGAGTAGACACATTCTAGAAACTACGATCGAGAGTCGTGGTGTATCACTTTCCCGTTTAATTATACAGTATTAAAATACGCAGGCTTTTTTTTGTCCATACAAAAGCCCTCGGTTTCATTGTACTTGTTCAAGACTATAGAAACTTTTCTAAGCCTCATTATAAGTACTAGAAAATAACAAATCTGAGGCAAAATAAATAATTTCCTGTTTAAAATGGTTACACCATTACCATTATCATTTGAATGTACATCAAACTACTAAACCCAAACTATCGAAGTTCAAAACGGTTTTTTTTTATCTATCAATTAACATAAATAGTATACCAATAATAATATATAACAATAATAGGTAACCCTATTATTAGCATGACTAATAATGAAAAGAAGGTGTATTTTAATTATTTGATTTAAAAATGTCGTGATTTGACCTCGTTAATATTTGGGCTGAGAAATTAATATTTTTTTTTATGTAGGATAAAATATATTCACTTAGAATAATAACGCATAGAAACCTAATCCGCACACGCTAAGTGAGGCAAATTGAAGCGCTCCCAAAGGGCCTACACGAGCGGGCGGGCCTTCAGTGCTCAAGGTCAACTTGCACCGCGAACAGCTCAAGAATTTTAGCTAAAAATGACGAAATGTACGGTAAATGAGAGTAAAAATACGTCAGACAAACATAAAATAGATACTAACATCACATTCCATAAGGAAGTAACGCGTTTCAACTTGTATTTTTATATAAATATTCACTAAAACCGAAAATTCTCCTACTACTAAAACTAGCCTACATGAATTTGATTTTTGCCTCACTTGTGACAGTTCGTTTGATATGAATCTATCATTCTATGCGTTATTATTCTAAGTATATTCATTTAATCAAAGGTACAACCCCCATTATTTATACGTCTGCCATCTAATCGGTAGATCATTTAAACCTTTGCAATAGAACTCTGGGGACCTGGACTCCACAAACTGTGTGAAGGTATTTTGCACTGTTTCATAGAAACACATTTTTTTTCCGTGCAAAAAATTATCCAAATCGTGAAAAAAAAAATGGTAGTCGATTGGGGCAAGGTCCGGCGGAGCATGGAAGATGACGGATAGTTTCTAACTGCAAGTCTTGTAGTGTTAAAAATTGTTTCTCGAGCAGTGTGAGGTGTTGCGTTATCATATAGCAATAATGGTAAATAAAGATCGATTAACAAGTCGGGGTTATTTTTTGTTTAGAGTTGTGCTGTACAGTAGATATCTGTTGTTAATGCTTGATCGGATCTGAGGAAGCTATAGTGAATTACACCATGAAGTGACCACCAAACCGTTACCGTCGTTAGCCATTCTTATCCACTCCAAAGACATTATTGACATTACGAGCAATATCTGCTGCGTTAACCCCATGTAGGAACTCGTATTCAAAAATTACTCTGATTTACGCTGTATCCATCTTCACGATAAAAGCTGAATATAAAAACAATTGACAGGCGAACAATCAAATTTTATAACTTTTTAATTAAGAATGTTATATATTTCATGTGAAAAAAGTTTCACTCTGAAATCTAACGCCATGCAGATTTAGTTTTAATTCAAAGTGGCCAGTGCAATAAATCGGCAATTTCATATTTAAACCCCTATTATAATTTCAAATCCATGATCTCAAAGGGACTGAAGATACTATATAATATATCTATATATCTATAATATATAATATAATCATCAAACTTTAAATCAATGTAAGCGTATTTACATTTTTTATGGCATAGAATGACTTGTAATTACTGTTACCAATGAATATTTTCTCACTATTTGAATGATCTACCAACAAATTCCATTTATAAAATTTTCTAACAGACTAAACCTCGCAAGGACGCTTTTTTTAACTAGTGAACATAAATCTGTTTTTTACGACGTGTGAGGACAACATTATTTATTCAAGAAATGAAACAAAGAAACAGGGCTATAAATTACCAATTTAACGGCAGGGTACCCAAAATGCGAGGTGACACAAGCAGCTAATTAATTTCAGTTACGTTAACATTTTAGAACTACTTTAAGCATTCAGTTCGATGAGACATTCGCAAATACAGAGTTTTTAATTCTTTGGAACATTTGAGCAGAAACTTGTTACTTTCGAGTTATTAATCATCGATTCATTCATATGAAAGTAGAATGTGTTAGTCAAACTCCGCGTCGTAGTTTACAATATTAATAGATCATTAATTATGTTTTTTAACATAAAATAAGTGCGCATTTAATCTCCATTTTAAAGCGTTATAGTAGCGATGGAAAGTGATGATGAGGAAGGTGAGATAGTATTTGATTATGAGTCTTCATTTCGGTAATTCAGTAGCCAAATAAAATCCGCGTAAATGTCATGGCAACCAAGTTAGCGTTATTTACGGCAATCTATTGTTATCAGTCCGTAGAAAATATAAATTAACGCTTACTGTGCAAAAATGAAAGTCGTAGTATATTGAAATAACGAAATAACAACGTTAAATCCCTTTCTTGTGAAATGTCGTTTGGTGTAGATACGCTATTTACCAATTCTACATACGCGGATTTGCACTATCCTCGAAGAACTGTCTATTTATAAAGAGAAAACTTGTCAGAGGAATCTGCCATACGAATGAGTAGTAGACGACGCCTCCCCCTATTAATAAATAATCTATTTTGATATTACTTAAATAATACGTAGAGGTCCCAGGTTCGATTCCCAGGCCGGGAGAAATATTTGTATGTATGTATATGTACTCGTAATTGGTGGTTGTCTAAGTATGTGGCCTTGGCACCCACGACACATGGTTACCCTAGTGCAGGACTTTAAAAAAAATGAAATAAATAAAAAAATACATTACGTGAAATTGATGAATAAAACATTACACTTTAACATTACAAATTATAGGTTTATTTATTCCCATCGTTTTCATTATACATTTTCTAAATGAATTTATCGATGCAGAGTTATTGAAGATTTTATTTTTTATCTGTAAAGTTAGGTTTTCATAATGGTTTTTAAATTTTTTTAGTAAAAATAAATTTGTGCATTTGATGTTCATCTCACTTGATGGAAAGTGATGATGAGGGCGATGAGGAAGCATGCAGTAAATATTATATATTCAGGGAACAAGTCTGCAGGCAGGGAATATAAGTACACGTTTATTCGGTGGTGCCGTCGTAGTGTTGACGATATCAAGCGTAATTTGCTTACTTTCGATATAAAGGTATATTTCAAATGGTTTAAAATTTATTATATTCTCTTCAGGTGCAGCTCAAAAAGGAGGGCCCAAAACCCCGGTGAAGCCATCAGCGCAGAAGGGAGCAGCAAAAACCGCACCACCGAAGCAGGCAGCGGCTGCAGCCGCGGCCGTAAAGACCCCGCAGGGCAAGAAGAAGAAGGGGCAGCGGCATCAGCAATATGAGCTGATTGTTACCATTAACCTGGTAAGTTGTACGTTCTGGAATTTGGCATTTTATTATAACAAATTAGTAGCAGTGGAGCTCCTTGTGAAAGAGTTCATCCAGGGAAGTACTGCCTGCCACCTTACCTATTTCTGCCGCCAAGTAGTAATGTGTGCATTACTACATTCCGATTTTGAAGCATAAGGATGCTGGTGAAATTAAAAGCACATTGGACATTTCAACTTATGTCTCAGGGTGATGGGTGCAGAGGCAGTGCACCTCAGATCTTTGTAATTTAAAGCTCTGAGTGACAATGCAACTCTTATGGACAGGTGTGTCGTTTCCCATCAGGCGCACGACTTGTTCGTCCCATCCATTGACTTTATAATTGTAAATCAATGGTCCCATCACTTATAATGTGAGAATGTTAAAAAAAATAAATTAATGCACATCTATAGATCGGGCTTTCTCTAAACATTTCTAAGTTCGGAATACTTTTAAAACTTTGTCTTATTTCTTAAGCAATAGGAATTGCAATAATTATTATAAAATCACTATTTATATTTTCGTGTTTCGGAAAGCTTCATTCAGTTCTGTTCTCCTTATCATAACTGACATCATCGATATTTTTTAGCAAAATTGAGTTAATAATATACTGGGATCTGTGATACGAGATCTACAACCCGCTTTAATCGATGTTTTAATACCTTAGAGTAATTTTTTTTTTAGGTAATGAAACTATTTTTCCGGATTTAAATCGCGTATATTTGTTTTTTCAAACAAACCAACGTTTCCCCATGGGCACGGTTGACTGAGGTGGTACAGTCATCAACCAGTTATGTTTACATAAAGAAAACTCGATATTGTTTTAGGTGACAATAAAACTTTAGGTGCAATACCTCGAAGATTATCGAAATGCAAATGCGTTAGTTGCGACAAGGAGGGCAGAATTGTCATTAGAATGCATGTTTTTGTTGCATGCATATTTGTATTGTTTTAAAATAGTGTTTTAATTTTTTTTCTGTTATCTGATCAATACAATAAAAACAAATTTGACTACGAGTTAACTGTGACAGTTGTCGCTAGCGACCGCGTAAATTACTTCACAATTTTGTAAGGCAAATTATATAGCGCCCCTAGGGGTTACAAAAAGAATCGACATTTTGTTTACATACATTTAATATGGCCGCTAGCGATAACTGTCAATGTAATCTCATGGTAGAGGCACAGTTTAAAAAAAACACATTCTTTCACCCTTCCACGGACCGTAACGACGTTTGCCGTAAAATTAAATATCAGAATATCAGAAACACTATATGTATCTCAAAAAATCAACTACGGGCTTTGCAGTGCAATTTCCAACGGTTTTCTCTGTAGTGCTCTCTTAGGCGAGAGTTTAGGCCACAGCCCGCCCGCCACGGTGGCTCAATGTGCCACGTTTTCCGAGGGTTGTGAATTTTCTTCGACAAGAGGGTTACATCACGATGTTTTCCTCCACCATTAAGCTCATAGTAAGGAAGAATGGCGAAAGCAGACCCAATAATAATTAAAGTCAACGAAGAGCCGTTCATGGACTTTGTTAGTATGATTTTACGTTTAAGTTTATGCCTAGTTATCAATATGTTTTTGTATCTTTTTAAAAGCTGGGAATAAAGAAATTGCAAAACAATGTTTTTAGAATAAATGCAAGAACACGATGCAATTGATTCAGGTCGACCATAGATTAGGTGACGCTCTTGTACGTACGTTTCTTTTTAAGCATGATTGAATGTTTACCTACCTGAACTATTGGTTATTTTATAGTGCACACATAAAATATTCAAGCTATGAAATACCTAATTAAACAATCAATTAAACAGTAATGATATATATAAAATAAAAAATAAAAGACAATGTGACAAAAATGTTTACACAATATTTAAATGAGAGATAATAAAGTTAGGAAAGGAACGTTTTGACAAAAGGTCTCTTGCCAATGTCAATGTCACATAGAGATTGAAAACAATGTAACTATTTGTCGCAGATTTCTGCCATGGCATATCATGTTAACATTGTATTAAATATGGCAGACTTTGATAGATTAGGTAGTATTCAGCAAGTTCTTTATTATTTTTGGGGACAAACTGAAAACTTGTTGTTTTCTGCAACTGCGAACAAACATTATGAAGCGAAATACAGGACTATGTTATAAACATAGCCAATATCAACTTTATAACCCCAGCTTCTACAGAATGTACTCAATTAGCTTTTTTGATGCTTTGATAATTAACCACAAGTATTGATGGGCCTCTTTAATGTACGTCATCAAAAACATTGGGTTACAAAATACACGGAATGTCGCCATCCTTCTTTCAAATTGAATTTCTCACATAAATTCCGAAAAACACAGACATACGAGCCCGAATTCGAACCCACGTCTCTGCTTGTGAAGCTGTAGGTCAAATCATTAGGGTACCAAGTTTCTCATAAATAAATATTACAAATGTGCATTGAGTAAGAGTAATACTATTATTAAATTGGTCGTTTATTTTGCAAACGGAAAAAAGTCAAAACAATATACATTTACAAAAAATCTCTGAAAAGAAATCGTCCATTAAAAAGCCACAAATCTATAACGGGTGTATTTTGAACAAACAGTGTAGTTGAAACGGCGAATAGTCAACAAACAGTATGACGAAATGGACCTGGAATTAGCTTTATGAGACACCTACGAGACGGAATGTAAAATTGCTTTGACGGACCCGAATTAGATATGTCATAATCGAATTCTTAGGTTTTTCTCGATTGTTACATATTTATACAAATCGAAACGATTTTTTGGGATCAAATGGCGTATATTTGTTTTTTTATACATATCACACTGTTAATACTATAATGTATTAACTCAAAAAGTGCTTTTCTCATAATCAACGAAAAACGAATTACTCGCTTTCCGTGAAAGATCTGTGTAAATTAATGTATAAGTTATTTCCTACTTGCCAAACATACATATTTAAAAATAAAAGAGATAAATAGTTTCATATTTTTGAATAAGGACAATTTTGGCCAGAACTAGGTCACATAAAGCTTATCTCATTTTGAGTTAAGTAGTTAAGTAGATATATTTTAGTTGTTTTTCACAATATTATAACGACAGTTTTATTGACATGTAGAGAATCAAATTTTACATTCAGAAATGGGATTAATTTTGAATTTCACATATTTTGAGCTATTGCAATAGCAGTGCTATATAATACCAAGTACGAGACGAACAAATCGTGCTCCTGGTGGTAAGCGACACACCTATTCATAACAGTTGCAGTGCCACTCAGACCTTTAAATCGCAAAGATCTCAGGGGCAACTGCGCTTTTCACCCTGAGACATAAGTTGACAAGTCCCATGTGCCTGTAATTTCGCGGCAGAAATAGATAAGTGGCAGTACTTCCCTGGACGAACTCTTTCAAAAGGAACTCTACTGTTACTAAACTTTTTTCCAACAAAGCGGCGTTTCTGGTTATTTACAGGACTTGGACAGGCAGGTGCCAGTCAGTCTTGATCATGGGACCTGTAATGGGCCCGAAATGCTCTTAAGTTTGAAAAAAAAACTCGAAAAAATAGCTTTTTAAAATTTGTTATTTTTTGTAAGTCCACTGTTATAGATGCTTTGTTGACGGCCCATTTGGTAGGCCAATATAAGAAATGAACTTTTCTGAATTGGTTCTGGTTTAGGTGTTCTGGGTAGTGCCCCAGAGAGCTGTTTGAGACAAGGAAATTGATGTAGTTATCTGGCATATTAGTTATTATCCTTGCTACGATTTTTTCAGTTAACACCACGGACTCAAGGTTAATATTCGATTGAATTTACGCAACGACGTTCTATGTTGGCATCTCTCATGGAAGAATGGTATAAGTGGAGTCACGTCAAATATGTTTATTGCACCATTATATACAGAAAAATATAATCCACATCCTTGGTATAATGAGGCCACATCTGCAAAATGACAATTTTCCAGGAGAGGGAAACTACGAAAGAAATTAGTTGCAAATTTTTTGTGCTTAAATAGGAGAGTTGTAAAATTTCACATGTGTACAAAATTTGTTTCATGTATTTCGTATTATTTTTAAAACTTTCATGTGATAATAGTAATTTTGACGTATGATCACACATGTGTATATTATAATAAAAACTTTTCTTGAAAACATCAAAATGTTGGTATGAAACAAATCAATATTGTAATTTTATCAATGAAAAGTTTAACTTAACAATGTATACACGAAGTTTATATTTGAAATAAGATTTTAACGGTTTAAACAATTTCTCCAAAGATTCGAAAGCATAGAACTTGAGAAATACACACTGTAATAAATAAAATAAATCAATACAAGCAAGCACAACAGCAAAATCGTAAAAACTAGGCAATATTATCATAATAATCTCACTTGTCTTGGACAATAGCGCAGTTGTACCATTGGAAGTCGTTATACGGTAAAGACCACACCCGATAATGGTACTAAGATATATGAATCCTTGGAACTACAGAAATGTATGTTTTTGAAGCATTTTTAGTGGGAATTGTTTTGCACTAGAAATGCATATCGCGCCGCCATTGAAGGCGAATTATTACTTTTTTAAAGAATGAGTGCGCTGGTGGACAGTAGACGATGAAGCGTGCACACCTATCTGCATATTGCCTATTCTCTTTCGCCTTGAAAAGGCCCAAGTTATAAGTGCTCAGGGAATGCATGCCATTTAAATGTGGAATCATTGGTATATCCCACAATATAGAAGTGGAACCCCAGCCTACGTCTAGTTCCCCGATGTTCGAAAGGCGTAATTAAATCGTGCAATTCCATCGCACACTCTCCATGATGCATCCCGCAGAATATAATATGATTTTTCCACGCCGCAACCGCTGCCAATGAACTTGACGGACGTTAAATTCGGTTTTAATGAAGTATCAGCTTTTTGCTAATTATTTGCTACAATATTGCCGTACAATTAAAATGAATTACAGAACGTCTAGTTATGTACATCCGATTAATACTAGATTTTAATTATACC